CTGTACCCCAGCTGCACTCCCTGCCGCGACCCCCCAAAGCTCAGGGCCTGGGCCAGTCCGCCCATCCCTGAGTCTCAGATTCCTCATCCACACGGCTCCCCATGGGCTCCCCCATCCCCTCCTCCCCACTCTCCCCAGGGGTCTCACCTCGCCCCTCTCCCACCACCCCCTTCCCCAGCAGGACTGCTGGCAAAAGCCTTATACCTGAAGTTCTGCCACCACACCTGCCGGGAGTCCAGGTGGGACGTCCCGGGACGTGGGTCCCACTGCTCTCCCTGTGCGGGAGAAGCGCTGCGGCCGGGAGGGCACTGAGGGCCCAGCCCACGGCCCGGGGAGGGGCGCCTGCTCGCCCTGGGCCGCAGCCCTGGCTTCTCGCGGGGGCGCGTCCCTGCCGCCAAGTTTGACTTAAGTGACGCCCCCCCGCCAAGTGCAGACCCCCGTCCCGAGCTCAGCCATCAGCGGCTTTCCTTTCTTCCCGGCGTCCTAGGTCCGAGCTTGCGGGGTGGGCAGCGCGGGGCGGGCGCAGTGCAGACGTGAGGTCTTGGCACAGAGTGCCAAGCCCCCCCATCCTCCCTCTTGCCACGCAGCCCCGCCTAGCCCGCGTAACCGCTCGCCGATGCAGGACACAAAGAGCTTCTTCATCCCTTTCTCCGGCTGCAGAGAATCCGTACAAAATTACTTTCAGCAGTAACAGCTCAGCGCAGGGGAGGTGGGTCCCTACTGCCAGGAAATAAATGCCCTGCAGGATGTGCCCCTCGCCAGCGCATTTTCCCCAGGGGACGCCAACACCAAGGCCTGCAGCCCTAGGCAGGGGTGGGCGAGGCCGACGGTGGGCGGGGCCAGAGCAGCTTCAGCCCAAGTCTGGGCTCTCTGGCCCTCGTGCCGGCGCGGAGGCCAGGGGTCCGTGGAGGTGTTAGAGGGCTCACTCGTGGGCGAGAGCGCAGCTCCTGGCACGTGGAGATGTCCCCACATCGCCGTCCGAGAGCTGCACAAGGAAGGAGATGGGAGGAAGTTTGGGTGGAGAATTAAGGAAAAGGGTGGCTTTTCAGGGACTTGTTTTTATTTTCTTAGTGAGAGACACTTGAGTGTGTTTACATGCAGAAGGAGAGAAACCAGTCCAAAAATTAAACACAGAATCACCATGCAATCCAGCAATCCCACTTCTGGGCACAGACCCCGAGGAATTGGAAGCAAGGACTGGAAAAGATGTCTGCGCACCAGTGTCCGCAGCAGCATTATTCGCATATCCGCGGTGCCTAAAACACGGTGGCGGCCGGCAGTCCGCGGCGGATGGAGGATAAACACAATGTGGTCTCTACATACGACAGAATATCATTCGGCCTTTAAAAGGGGGGAAATTCTGACAGGCGCTACAACATGGATGAACCTCGAGGACTTTACGCAGGGGAGGGGGATGGGGAATGAGCGTTTAATGGGGACAGTGTTTCAGTTTTGCAGATGGACGGTGGTGATGGCTGCACAACAATGCCACTGAACTCTACCCTTAAAAACGGTTAACGTGGCAAATTTTATATTATGTGTATTTTACCAATTAAAAAAAATTGGGTGGGGGGGAGGAAGAACCAGGAGACAGAAGGGAGGGGAGCTGAAGATACAGGGGAGGAGAAGGAGGCCGGGGATGGGGAGGCCGGAGGAGGGGCCATCCAGAGGTGGGTGACGCTGGGCATAGGGTGGGCAGGGCGGCAACCTCGGGGCCCTTGCCCCCAGAGGCCTGGCTTCTCATAGAAGTGGGGGGGGCGGGTAAGCTGAGGGTGCAGGAGCAGGGCGTGCTGACAGGCACCGTGGGCTGAGGGGGGGTACCACAGGCAGCCCTGCAGCTGGCGCCGGACACCAGGGATCCGTGGTGGGGCTTGGGGGACAAGGAGAGGTGAGACTCTCCGAGGTTAATGTGGATGGGCCGAGAGTGTCCAAGGGTTAGAGGAAATTAACCTGGGGTGTGGACGTGTAGAGGTGGGACGGGGGCAGGTTGAACAAATGGAGGATGGGGGCCTGGAATCAACAGATGGCTCCTTACACCCTGATGTGTCTCCTCACGGGGTCCTGGGGCGCAGGGGAGTCGCCCCCCTGAGACCACCGGGAGCCTGCTCCCTCTGGCCAGCCCACCCGCACGTGCCTGTTTCTCAGTTATGGATTTCAGGAAAGAAAGAGGCTGTGCCTTATCACCGTCCCTGGGAGCTGCCTGCTGGCCAGTCACTGGGGGGCCATCAGAAGCAGAGATAGAGCCCACGAGAGACCCCTCACGGCCCTCTGACCACCGGGGAGGACGGTCTGGACTCTGATCTCAGAAGGAAGGCCCGCCCTCTGCTCCCAGAGGCGGAGACGGTTGGCTGCACAGAGGGTGGGAAGGAGCCCGGAACAGAGAGGGGGGCAGGAGGGCCAGCGCATCTGCAGCCCACATCTGCCCTCAGAGGCCCCACTGGCCCGTGGCTGTGCGCAGCCAGGCCGGGCAGATGCCCTTCCCGCACCCACAGCACCAGACCTCCACCCCTCAGTCAGAAGCGTTGTCCATCCCTCCCCAGGTCTGGGTCCGGTTCACTGTGGTGACCCCAGAGGCCCAGAGCGTGGGTTCACAGTGCAGACTGGGGCCATGCCGCTCCCCAGAGAGAGATCAGGGCTCATGTCCTTCCCCTACCACCTCCCCCTCTGCCAGGGCCGGACGGGGTGTGGACGGCCAGTGTGCCCTGTCCACGGCCGGCACCAAGGTCTGAGGACAAAGCTGCACTGCCGCCAGCCAGGAGGAACAAGGTGACTCACTCGGCCAGAGGGAGGCCAGGCCTGGCAGGGGGGGACCCACACCCGCTGCGCCCACGGGCCATTCACTGGAGCCAGCCCGACCGAGCAGGGCAGAGCAGGCAAGGGTCTGCAGGCAGGAAGCTGGGCCCCCAGGCTGCCCAAGAAGAGCGCTGGTGCGCGTGGGCAAGGCTGAGGGAGAAAGCCCTGACGTAGAAGGGCAGAGGCTCTAAAGTGGGTCTCGGGTGCCCACAGGGCCACCTGCCCTCAGCCCTGGCCCTTGGGGTCTAAGGGAGCCATGTCCCCAGCCGGGGGGGCTTCAGGGGTGGCCCTTGTCACGGAGGCCTGGGGTCAGAGAGTACCACCAGCAGGCGTGTCTGAGGCCAGAATGTCTGGGGGGGCTGAAGGGGGGCCCCACAATCACTCTGACCTGAGGGCTGGGGGCCTCGTGCACTCCTGTGGGCCACCAGCCTTGGCCAGGCTTGGCCATGTGACTGCGTCCTCGTGAGCGGGACCAGCCCCCAGCCCCCTTGCTGGGATGCGGCAGAGGGAGCAGCGCCCGCTGTGGGGGAGGAGGGGTGAGGCGCACCTGGGGCAGGGGCGGGTGGGGAGGGGAGGGGCTGAACCTCTGCAGTAATTCCTTGTCGGTAAAGCAGTGATGGTAGCACTACCCAGCCCTAGAGTTGTTGAGGACAAGTAAAATGACATTTAATTTTACTTAGTGAATTAAATGTGCTAGTATTATCTGCGCCTCGGCCGAGGAGGAGCTGGGCCCGTCTGGGGGGACAGGCGGTGGGTGAAGCCTCCCTGCTCCCTAACGGTTCTGGGAACCCCTGTGGAGCCCTTCCTGGGGGCAGCTCCTGTGACCCCAGATCAAAGCATCTGCAGGAGGAAGCCGGGTCTGCGGGGGCAGCTGGGTGGGGTGGCCGTGGACACAGGCCTGAGAAATGAAGAGGGCAGGTCCAGGGCCGTGAGCACCAGACCGAGGGAGACCCTGGCTGGAGAGTGATTTTAGCCTCCAGGGGGGGAAGGGCTGGGGGCAGCTGATAACGGAGCCGGGCAGCCTCCTGCAGAAGCTGAGGATGGCCAGGCCGGCCCAGTGCCCACTGGAAGGCGAGAGTGCACTGGTCCAGAGGAATGGGGGAGGGATGATGCCACCTGGTGGCTGAGACTTCAGAGAAACGTCATCCAGCTGGCCCTGTGGGGACTGTGACGGGAGCCGTCCTACACGACAGCGGGCACTGGCTCTTGATGGCCACGACCACTGTGAGAGCACTGAAGTCCACAGAACCAGGGAAAAGGGGACTGGGCTCAGGGTCAGGCGGCCTTACCCCAGAGCCAGCTCCCAACCTCTGCTGCAGGTGGCCCCTGAGAACATTCCACCCACTGGGGAAACTCGGGCTGGGCAAGTTCAGGGAGTGGGCCACGCAAACAGTGGGCGGGCTCGCGTCCCTGGCTCCAGGCCCCAATCTAGCCTCCTGCCCCTGCCCCCTCCTTTCCGTGGCCTCCAGGAAGGGGCTGCCCATGCACAGTCTGCGTCCCGCAGGGGAGGAACGGCAGAGTGGGGCAGCCCAGGCCCACACACAGCACAGCACGGGCAGGCTCCCAGCGGCTCCCCAGGAGGCCTCCACCCTGCCCTGGATGGCCGGCATGGAGCTCTGGAGGGCAGGGGCCTCCAGAGGATAGGGTGTGAGGTGATGGTGGGAAGGCTTCTCTGAGGAGGTAACGCCTGTGCGTGTGGGACAGCCTCATGGACGTCAGCAGGAACAGCATTCCAGGCAGAGGGAACAGCCAGGACGAAGCCCCGAGGTGGGAGGGAGGGCAGCCGGCAGCCAGTGGGCGAGCACAGGGCTGGCGGGACAGGCAGGGCTGGCGGGACAGGCAGGCCTGGCGGGAGGACTGCAGTTGTGCTCTTCTTTGAAATCCTCTTAACAAGGCCCCCGGAATGTGGATGATGACTCACGGCTGAAGGTGCCTGGGCAGTGGTCTGCAGCTGGAGGGCCCGTGAGGCCAGGCTCCTGGGGCTGTGTGGCCTGGGCCCGGGTCCTTGGGGTCCAGACAGGGGGCAGTGGGCTGGCCAGCCCACACTACTGGGCTGAGGCCTCAAGGCCAGGGCAGAGCCACACAGGTGGTCGGGAAGCCCCAAGGCCAACCACAATGACTTCCTCTCCCCCACCCAGCCCCTGGAGTCAGGGAGGGAAATGACCATCCCTGGCCCAGTGCCTGGCCTGGGGGCCAGTGTGAGGCCTATTGTTTGAGGCTGGAGCTGGGGGGTCCAGGGCCTCCGGGAAGCCCCCGGCAATGTCCTTTGTCCCACTTCCCACAAATCCAGAGGCCCAGCGAGGAGCCGGGTGAGCAGACGCGGCAGCTCCGGCAGGATGAAGGTGCTGGTGGCTGTCCTGCTGGCTCTGCTGCTGTGCGGGCAGCAAGGTACTCGGGGCGAGGGGAGACCCTGCAGCGCGGGGGACAGCATAGTCCAGGCGCACAGGACCCCCAGGATCGCTTGGGAAGAAAGAGGGAATGCAGCTGGAGGTCGAGGCCACAGGGAGGTGGATGGGGCTGTCGTGGGTTCCCACGGGTCCCTGAACCTGCAGCCCCGGCCCAGCCAGCCCCTGGGGGCACGGGCTCCCTCCCCACCCACCCCCAGGCTCAGCCACTCAGAGAGGCAGGCTTTGGGGTGCCCTCTCCTCTCCCAGCCTCAGTTTCCTCTTCTGTGAAATGGACAGGCCATCCTGACGGCTACGGGCCAGCTGCTGTACAGGGCCAGCACACAACCCCTAGTGTTGCTGGTAAGGAACACACAGGTAAGGAAGCAGGGCCGGGGCTCGGAGACCCAGGCAGCGACCTCACCAGCTTGGGAGGCGGCGGGGAGGACAGAGGGACTGGCAAGGGGGCTGATGGATCGAGGGGTGGGGGCGTGGCACTGGACCCCGAGCATGTGTCCTCTGTGCCCGGGTAGTGGAGGTTTACAGGCGTCCCTGCGCGGCCAGGCAGAGGGCAGACGCAGGAGGTCGAGGATGATGACGTGGACGCTGGACCTGAAGGCTATGATGAGGACGACGACGAGGAGGACGACGAGGCCAGCGTGACTGCAGGCAGCAGAGGCACAGGTACCTGCCCACCCCGACCCCACGGTGGGCCATTTGTTCCCCTTTTCCAACACATGCGTGGGCACCGCCGAGGGCCAGGGTCCGCGAGGCTGACGGTGAGGACACGACAGGCAAGGGCCCCCACCTGTGAGCTTCCCTCCCCTCGTGGGGGAAGGGGTGAGGAGGGGCCCTTGACACTCAGCACACCCTCACTTCTCACCCTGACCGTGACCCTCAACTGCCGTCCAGAGTAGGGAGGCCTAGAGAAGGAGCCATTCCTGGGAGGGACAGTGGTGTCGCAGCAGAGAGGTTAGAGAGAGTTCACCAGGCAGGACAGCAGCACAGCGGAGCCCGGGATGGGGAGACCGGAGAGTCACAGGCCCTGGTGTGGAGTCCTGTTCAGAAAGACATGAGCAGCCTGGCACTGGTGGGGCCGGGCGAGGGGAGGGAAAGGGGCCAGTCCTGAGGCAGGGGCGCAGGGTTCGTGGGGGTCAGCTGAGGATGCGTGAGTGGGACAGGAGCTGGGAAAAGGCCTCAGAGGTGAAGAGGCCGGAGGTGGGGGGCTGGGTGAGCCGGGGCGCGCTGGGGACTGAGCCCGCCCGGCCTCCCAGTGCAGCTGCGGTGCTACTCCTGCCAGTCCCTGCACCGGGATGAGAGCTGCAGACAGATGCAGAGCTGCATCCTCCCCAAGACCTGCAAAACCATCGTCTCCCACTGGAATACTGGTGAGCAGGCCACCCCGGGGCAGCCGGACGGGAGGAGCCCGTCTCCCACGTCTGTGCACGGCCTCGTCCCTACAGTGTGACGCACTTTCTCCACCACCCCCTTCCCACCCAGAGTCAGGTCCCCGGACCACCTACTCGGGGTGGTGTGCAGACACTTGTCAACCCATCAGCAGGACGGTGGATGGATCCCTGACGACCATATCCTGCTGCCAGGCCAGCCTGTGCAACACCCCGCCCTGGCAGGACCCCCAGGGAAGCGGGGCAGGTGGCCCCCAGGGTAGACCCTCAACCGTGGCCACCGCCCTCCTGTTCAGCCTCCTCGCCGGCCTTCAGGCAATGGTGTTCTGAGTGGGGGGGGGGGGTCCCATCCCCATCCCCAGCCCGGCTTATACCCTGGCTGGTCAGCACTCTGCCCACTGTCTTCCCCTCCCTTCCCCTCCCCTGCCCCCACCCCAGCTTTGGAGAATAAACTGGAAGCGTCTGTAATGATCCGGCCAGCACTGGTTCCTCACAGCCACGTCTGCCTTTCCTCACTGTCCCCATCTAGCACCCTGGTCTCCTCTCCCTGCCTGTGTGTGGCACGATGGCCAGCACATGGGCCTTAGGTCCAGGCCTCAGCTGCTCACAGGGTGGGTCCACCCAGCTCCTGCCCCTGGCAGAGAAAACACTCACCATGTGCCTGGGGGGAGACCACCCCAACTTGCTCCCCAACTTCCCACCAACAAAACACCTCCATCCATGTGATGGGCAGCCCATCTGGGGGAGGAGACTTTGGGAGGAAGGCTTCCTTGGCCTATAGGAGGAAGGGCCCTCCACCCCGGGAGGCTGCTGGGGTTTGAGGGTGGAGTTGATGAGGGGCTGGAAGAAGAAGAGAAAAGAGTGGGAGGCTGGAGGGGTGGTTGAGATGGGACTTTGCAGCCGACCGCTCAGCCTGGTGGGTGCCGGGGGCATAGGGGCAGTGAACGGGGCGGTCAGGCCACCAGTATCAGGGAGAGGTGACATGGCCTCTGGGCTCCTGAGGAGAAGAGGAGGGGAGCAGTGGGAGGGGGCCGGGTAGGAGAACCTCGGCTTCCCCAGTGTCTGCTCTGGCTAGGCTGGTGTCATTGGCTCCTGGGCACTTGGCCTTCTTGACTGGTGACAGGACAGAGCCCTGGAGTGGGAAGGAGGAGGCCTGGGCCTGGGCCTCAGTTTCCCCATCAGAGCAGTACAGAACAAGGCTTAGAGGACCCCTGATCCCCACCAGCTCAACATCCCCTGGGCTGGGAAGCCCAGAGCTCCACCCTGCCTGTCAAGTATCCCAGCAGGCAGGATAGTCTCCCACTTTCCATTCTCCCCTTTCCTCACTAATGGAAACATCAAGGCCTAGCTGGGGATGGGGGGAAATCCCTTAGGTAGAGATGGCATATCTTTCTCTTCTCCTTCCTCCTTCCTGTGGCTGGAATGATGGCTGGAGCACAGCAGCCACCTTGCACCATGAGGCAGCATACTGAGAATGGCAGGGCAGCATGGAGGAAGGGGCCTGGACCCATTACAGCAGCCTTGCACTGCCTAGCTCAGGACCCCTTTACCTGGGAGGGACATGAACCTCCGCCATCTTGAAGCTAGTTGTTTTGGGTTTCTCTGTTTCTTGCATTTTCACACACTCATGCATATGCACGTATTCACACGTACTCCCACTCGCACACACACTCGTGGACACACACGTTTGCACACACAGTCCCTACGAAAGCATAGCAGATAAGAGCCGAGCTCGGGGGTCACACTGCCTGGGTTCAAATGTTAGGCCCACACCCTCCAGCCCCAGCCCCGGGTGAGCCCCTTCGCCTGCAGCTGGGCTTCCTCATCTGCCAAGTGGGAAAGTAGGACATCTGTCCCTGTAGGTCTGCAGTGAGAACTGACCGAACCGCCGAGGGGGCTGCTTGTAGCCCACGCCTGGCAGAGAGTAAACGCTCAGCAAGCTACTGTTGTCAGGGCAACCCTTACGCCCCGCCCCTGTGTGCCACCTACGAGTGCAAGCTCATGGGAGACGCCCCACCCGAGTCCTTTACCATCACAAGAAGCCTCGTTAGCCACACCCACCCGCTGTAGAAATACTGGGCGCCATCACCCGCATTCACAGGATTCCCTTCAACCCTCCGCCCTGAAGCCCCCAGAGCTCTGAGTGCACAGACGCCCCACTGTGCACCTCTGGAGCTGACCTCCTTCACGGCCCTTGGCAGCAGGAGGGAGCCAGGTCGGGCTCAGTCTGAAGCCACTGGCTGAAGGGCCTGCCCTGGGCTCCTGCTTTGGCGACAGCCTCTTCTCTGGGCTCCGGGCGCACTGCGTGCAGCTGGGCCCATGATTCCCGCCCTGGAGAGCAGAAAGCACAGCCCTGACCCCTCACTGGGGCTGGTTACAACCTGCCCCTGCCCGAGGGCACAGGAGGAAGCAAGTGGTGTCTGGAGCGGGCAGGTCCAGCTGTGGGCGGGGACCTGACGTGCCACAGGCAGCTGGTCCCAAAACACCGCCCCTCCCCGCCGCCCAGCCAGCTCCCTGTCCTGGCACCCAACAGTCCACCCGATGGAAGTGACACTTCTGCGCAAGGTCACGCAGCTGGCGGTGGCAGGTCCAGGACCCAGCTGGGGGCTTCCCGCCGACAGCGGCCGCCTTCCCGGGGGGCCACGGGCCAGTGGCGCCAGGGCACCTGAGTCAGAGGTTGGAACTGGCTAGATGGCGGCCAAGACCCAGCTGGGTCCCCAGGCCAAGCCCAGTGTGAGGTGTCAGCAGACGGTCACAGCCAGGCCTTGTCACAGCGCGTCTACGCCTTCCCAGGAGGCTGGCGGAGGGCATACGCATCTGGATCACTGCCCCTGTTCCCCACGGCTGCCGAAACAAATGACCACAAACTCAGGGGCTTAAAACCACACACGTGAATTATCTTATGGTTCTGGAGGTCAGAAGGTATCACAGGGCTGCGTCCCTTTTGGAGGCTGTGATGGTCGGTTGTCTGAGTCAGCTTCACGGGGCTAAAAGGGGTGCCCACGTAGCTGGTAAAACATGATTTCTGGTGTTTCTCTGAGAGTGTTTCCAGGAGAGCTTGACATTTGAATGGCGGGCCTGAGAAAGGAAGGTCACCACCCCACAGGTGAGTAGCCACCACCCAGTCCATCCAAGGCCAGATGGAACAAAAAGGCAGGAAGGACAAGCTCTCTCTCCCTTCTGGAGCTGGGCTGTCCATCCTCTCCTGCCCTCAGACATCGGGCTCCTGGTTCCCAGGTCTTTGGACTCAGAGGGAATTTACCGCACCACTTTCCTGTTCTCGCGCTTCCAGAGAGCAGGTTGCGGGGCTCCTCGGCCTCCAGGACCACGCGGCCCAATTCCTGTAATCAGTGCTCTGTGCGTGCCTGTGTCCTGACCTCCCCTTCGTATAAGGGCACCAGTCAGATTGGCTTGGGGCCACTCGCGTGACCTCACGTACCTTAATCACCTCTGAAAACCGCATCTCCAAACACAGTCCCGTTCTGAGGGGGTTAGGACTTCAGCATGTGGATTTGGGGGACACCAATTCAGCCCATCGCAAGGGGCTGAGACAGGGCTCTGTGGGGGGCCCAGACGGGGTGGGGGGGGGCAACAGCCCTGAACTGAATTTAAAGGAGGTGTTTGCCAGCGTGGTGGAGGTGGGGGAGGAGGGGCGGGGGACCTGCAGGCAGATGGGGTGCAGGGTGGGTCGCGGTGGGCAGGGGAGGGCTGGAGCACGGCTCACAACTCCAAGACTCCGCTCCCCAGCCCCGGGCCCCGCCTGCGGCCCTCGTGAGCACAGCTGGTGGCCAGGCAGGGTCGCCCGCTCCTGCTGGCTTCCTCAGCACTCAGCCCGTCTGCTCCTCGGGTGCCTGTGTCCCCCACGAGCCCCATGGCAGCGGCAGCCAAGCTCCGAGCACCAGGTCCTGTGTGCAGACCTTCTCTGTCGGCGGAGGCAGTCCTCGGCCCCCCCTGCAAACCCCGCCCCCAGGCTGGCCCCGCCCTGCACAGGACATGCACCTGTGGTGACCCTGAGCCTGCCTCACACCTCCAGAGGTTGTGCTGTCGCAGCCTGCGGCTCCCACCTGCCCGTCCTGCTGAAGGCCCCCCATATGGAGGTCTGGGGACCTCGCCGGAGCCCCTCACCCCAGCCCTCCCCGCTCCCTCTCCTGCCCCGCCTCCCCGCTCGCTGCCATCGCCTCGGGGACCCTGCGACGTTTGTGGGTGATCGAGCCTGGCACAACTTTCTGTCACCAAAGCAGTGAGGGTGTCCGTCCTCCTCAGGAGTCCGGAAGTGGGCTTCCAACGGGCCCAGCGCTGGTGAAGGGCCTCTAGCCGAACTGGTCAGGCAGGAGAGGACGCCCGCGGAGCCGGCAGCTCCTCAGACACCCTGCCGCGACGGCAGCGGCCCTGTGAGGTGTCTCCTTCTGGACGACAGCAGGGGGCGTGAGGGGCCCCGGGCGGTGGGCCAGCCTCCGGGCCTCGGCGCTCAGGCCTCGGGACCCCCCAGAGCAGGCACTTCACCATGGGCTCGTGCAGGCGCTCGGCCCCCCAGAGGGGCCTCCTGGAGAGCCTGATGCTGGAAACTTCCGGAGCCTGGTTGCCCTAGGTAAGGGCTCTGCCCTGCAGCTCAGACACTGTTGAGGCTTCCCGGCTTTTCCAGTGTGACGTGCATGTGGCCCCGCCCCGCAGAGGGCATGCACCTGTGGTGACCTGGAGCCTGCCTCACAGGAGTGAGATGCCTGCCGGGCCTCCAGGCTGAACTGGCCTCTTCCTGGCTGAGGGACCTTGGCAAGAGGCTCGGCCTCTCTGTGCTCAGTTCTCTCTTCCACGAAACTGCAGAAACACAGAGCCCATCTCCTAGTATCCCCGTGGAGGCTGGCTGGGTGCTGGCTGCCAGGCGCTGGTGCACCACCGACGCCAGGGGTGAACGCCATGGTCACTGCTCTGACCCCGGAGCTGTCCTTGGGGGGCTGCTCTGAGCTCTGAGCTGCTGTCCCTTGGGTTGGGAGGGCTTCTCTAGGCCCTGCCCTTTGGCCTTTGGAGGCAGGCTTTCTGTCTCTCCTCCCAGCGGTGGACCCACTCGCCCTGCTCCCTTTCAGGTGCCCTGCCCGTGTCCCACCCCCTGGCCCCCATGAGAAGGGAACAAATGAACCCAGTGGGCAGAGGGACCCCTTCTGTGTCCCCACCCAGCCCTGGCGCTGGCAGACAGCTCAGGCAGAATGCTGTGTTCCCTTCTCTTCTGGGCTCAGCCGAGCTGCCAGCTGGACGAGGGGCTGCGGGAGTCCTGTCCCAGTGGGCAGTCCTGGGCATCCCGCCCGAGCTCCTTTAACGTGGTGTTTTCTTTGGGACTTCCTTTCTCTTAGCACAGGAAGCAGATGGCCGTGGTCGCATTTCCCGTCCTTGTTCACAACCATGAGAACTGGGTGAGGACGAAGCAGT